ATGCTCGTAACTACACCTCATGCACAATTCGCGATGCATGATACGGGCTGTACTGGCACATGCGTGATCAGCTGCACTCCGCACATCGTTACGAATCGCGAACGCAATCCATGGCTCAGAGAAGTTGGCGCTGTGCTATTGCGGGTGTCACACTTGCTGGTCACCTGGCGGCCATGCTAGGTACGAAGCTTCGCCAAGTCGTATTGGTTGTCAAGCTCGTAACGCATGACGACGTGTGATGTAGGAATCCAGCTCATACGTTCATCATTGCGAGTTTCGGTTCTGTCGAGCTTTTGTTCTGTGAAATTTCACCTTTCTGCCTGATTGTTCTTGATGCTCCAAGCAGTATATTCCACAGTAAAACAAGGAGCAGAGCATGCTGCAAACTGTTCTGCCCGGTTTGCGGGCGGCCCCGTGTTGCTGCCAACATTACCAAAAGGAGCGTTGCATGTTCTAGACTAATCGCAAGCCATGTCACATCGTACGGAGCGAAGGCTTTCACGCTCGAAACCGCTGGCCAACCGCTACACGCTTAGCTTGAATCTTGGCTATGACGCCGTGTTTTGCCATGGAGTTTGGCTGGCAGGACCTCCGCTGGCTTCGCTATTGGCTTGCAAAAAGCTACATTGCTTTGATCACGGCCACACATGGCGGCTGAGGTCGTCAAAAACTTCATATCACACAGGTCCATTCACACGATGCTCGATTCGAATCTAGATTCTCAGAAGCTGATTTGTTATTTAATTCAAGGCTACGCGACAAATTTATTTCAAACATTTATGATTTTAGTGAAATTTTTGGAGCCATCCGGGGGTGCTGATGGGCTTCGTAGCCAAGACAAATGTAGAAAATCGAACGTCCTCGAAGATCATGATTCAATTTTGACGGACGGAGGGTTGCAAAAGTTGGCTTGGCCTATCTTAGTGCTTGATGCTCATCACCTCAAGAAAAGCAGCTGATTTATTCATGATTTACACATCGATGTAGAACTTCAAATTCCAATTAACCTGAAGTACAAGGTGTTTGAACTCCGATGTCGGACAGAAACCGAAACGTATTCCAACACAAAATGCGAGTGCCATGAACTGGCCTCAATGATTGTGTCCTCAATGATTGTGTCCTGTCTTGCGGATAAGCACAATTCATGGATGTGCGTGAACGAGAAGCGCGGGACCAGTCACAGCCGGCACCCGAAATTATTCAGCAAATCAACCCCGAGTTCAATTTCAATTGATTTAAGTTAGCTGCTCGCTCGTGGGCAGGCGCAAACATAGATGACATCCATTTTTGGCGAGCCATAAATTGCTTTTGCACGCTCGCAATGACACTGAAACATGAATAATCATAATGGATTGAATTCGCCCACGTGCAAAGAACGATCACAAGGCGTTGTCAACAGCGATGACCTTCATTTGACAATAAAATCTAGTTTGGATGCTAAGAAGCGAGCGGCAAAGGGGTAGTTGGGCGTCAATACCCCCCTTATCTGGGCTGCACTTTGCTTTTGTGTCGTTGTTCTGTGAGCGCCGCGTTCCATATCGATTTCGATACGCACCTCATCCTCGCTACTTTGAGTCACGGTTTGAGAATCATCAAAACAAACAAATTTAAAAACACCATGGATTCCAGATCTACTCAGTCCATCACGATGGACTTGACTTCAGTAACAAATGGGTTGCGACGACGACGTTGTTCGTGCTTCACGGGATTCCGGGAAAAATCGTGATTTGAGAAAGAGTCATGGCACCTGTGATTCGATTGTCGGATCATCAATGGCTCCAGGATCGATATGAAATGTGAGAGACGCTGTGCACAAATGAGGTACAAAGTGGGCTATTTTCCTCAGCCACAGTCGACTTCCCTTAGTTCATGAGACCAATGCGGTACCAAAAATGACCGGTCGGCAACGAGTCGACTCCGCATCACCTGCATTGCACCTTATTTGCCCAAATGGCTCGTAAGCATGCTCGATCGAAGCGCAAAAGATCACCATTAGGAATCCCAATATGTGTTGCTTAAATTGGAGAACACGTCAGCAAACTAGCAAAAAAAAAATCCTGATTTACTATCGTGCACCGGATGATATCGAACTCAAATCGTACGAAGGACGATGAAGGCGTGCACGTAGTTCGTATGGTGCTCGGCGGGCAGCATGAGGTGGCTGTGAGTGTCATACCGTAAGTGGCCCGTTGACGAGACAGGCCCATAAGTGAAACAAAAATCACGATGGTCACTCGAACGATCATCCCACACGAATATTGTAAATGACGCGTTTGTTGGACGGACAAGTGATCACTGTCGTGTGACTCATGTATTCAAATCCCCGCGAAAAGGTAGCTAGCTGGCTGTCCGACATGAGCCTGGCAACAGCCAGGCCACCTGACCTGGCTGACTTTCATGATTCGCCAGCTCGTGTTTCTTTAGAATACGGATTTTGATTGTGATTTTGTGGCCGTTCGGGGTCAAAATTTTAAGCGTTCATATCTCATTTGTATATTTTCATGGCTGGTTTCATACCACAAGCATGCATCATGTGTGATGGAACGTGAAGGCCATGAACGCATCCGAAATGATCGTACCCATGACGTGAACTGATGGGTCGACAAGCGTGCAGGCGAGTCTACATGCCATCGAGAAACAGCCACAGCAAGAGACAGGAGTGAGGAGCTGACTTGGGACGAGGGTGCAGCGTCGATCAGAGCGGGGAAGGTGGCAGGAGGGCGCGGGTGTGCGTTGTGTTGCAGAGGCGGTCGCGTGTGTTGGACCAGTGTGCGGCTGGAACGGTGTCGCGCACGGCCATGCACGTCACACGCTTTTGCTTTTCCAGATATCGACCTCCACACCGCGACCTGTCGAGCACAGTCAGCGCAGCGCGAGCGTGACGTGCCGCGGTGAGGCTGTTTGATTCACGAAATATCCGCAACTGCGCCAACGCACTCGGTCATCGTCCCCACCTCCACCATCACCATCACCCGCACCACTGCTTCTCCGCTTCAGACCCCACCAGCACGTCCTCTCGCAGCTCCACAGGCCAGTCGCCAGCAGCCATGGCCGCACGCAAGAAGTGAGTCGTGCTCCTCCCGATCCTTTCGATCACTTGAACTCGTACTGACTCACGACTCGCATTCTATAACAGGAGGCAGGTCGATGCCGAGTCTGCGCCAGTGACCGTGGCAGAGGGCATGCATACCCATGGTGTAAGTATCGCCTGCAGCAACGATACCATCCTCATTCCGTTCGACTACTAAACTCGTCACACCTGTCACACGGACCACTCCACGATCCTCTCCTAAAAGGTGCTCAACCAACATCCGAACTCCTTCCGGTCCCAAGGCTCGAGCGATGGCAGTGGCGCTTCCAAGCCGGAAGCGCCCTCGGGCCTCGCTTTCCGCATAGGATTTGCCGAAGATCCCAACTCACGGTTTCGAAGGGCGATGGAAGATGCACATGCCTTTGTCTATGACTTTGGCGACGTTCCCGGCCAAGGCTTCTTTGGTATATTCGATGGACATGCGGGCAAAGATTCGGCAGAATGGTGCGGCCGAAACTTTCATCAGGTGAGTCCTTGGATGCGGCACCGACTCGCCCCGACGGCCCAACCGAAAACGCTGCTGACCCTTTCCACGTTTGTCTGCCACAGCAACTTCTGGCAAACATCAGCAGCAGCCCGGAAAAGCCCGTGCCTGATCTGCTCAATTCCACATTCCATTCGGTCGACAAGGAGCTCGCGAACCTTGCTACGCAAACGGGCACCTCGAGCGGCTGCACTGCTGCCGTGGCGTTTTTGCGGGTCGAAGACGACGCTGGCTCGAAAGGTGACCAGGCATCTTCAGAAGACACTGCTCCCGCTGCCGAAGGTACGACCGAGCGAGCCCAGTCCGGCACTGGTCTGTGGGGCAAGATCTCGAAGCGCTTCGAATCCAGTGACCACGCCGAACAGGCCCAGCCGAGACAAGCGGCCAAGAGGGTGCTGTACACCGCCAACGTCGGTGATACTCGGGCCGTGCTCTGGTAAGTGCAAAGGCATCGTCCACTCGCTGTACACGCTCACGTTGCTGACACTCTTTTGATGATTCGCAGTCGGAATGGTCAGGCGGTTCGACTCACCTACGACCACAAGGGCTCGGACGCTCAAGAGGCGAAACGCATCACGGACGCCGGAGGCTTCGTGATGAACAACCGCGTCAACGGAGTGCTTGCCGTCACACGGTCGCTCGGAGACTCGAACATGAAGGAGTTTGTCGTCGGTTCGCCCTACACTACCGAGACCGTGCTCGGTAGCGAAGACAGCTTCCTCATCATTGCATGCGATGGCGTAAGTACCGCCCTTTCCTACAAACTGCCAGCCGCTCGTTTCTGACATTCTCTCTCATACACTAGCTTTGGGACGTGGCAGAGGACCAGGAAGCAGTCGACAGGATCCGCGACATCCAAGATCCACAGCAAGCCGCCGAAAAGCTCGTCCAGCACGCTCTCAGCGAATTCAGCACCGACAACACCTCCATCATGGTCATCCGATTTGCCCAATGACTTGCGACGACCATCTCTTAAAAAGCGGCTCACATTTATGATCTTCATGCAAGCCAGGCCATCCTCCACATCCTCATCCTCGGTTCCTTCATTCAGAATTCAAGCGCGTCGCCAGATGCAAATCATGGAGTCACAGAAAAATACATTCAGATCAGCTGCTGGCAGAGTCGCCAAGTGAAGTGAGAATACACGAGGCAAGGCCGTGACGGTGGGCCATCGAGCCAGCAGGCCTGCTGAGAGGGGTCGGGGATGGACTTGACACAATGACGACGAGGCGACAGGGAAAGCAAGTCCGCAGGCCTGGCGAAGGGATTTACAAAGGAGACAAGGGAAGGAACGAGTGGTATAGGAGGCAAAAGATGTCCGACCTGCACAGGTGTGGGGCCTCCTTGGATCGAGCCGGAGAGGTCACCAGCACACGTGGACTGGCTTGCCTGTGCATGCAGCGAAGCGTTGAAGAGAGCGGGCGCTTACGACTCGAGGCCGTTGCTGCTCTCGTACTCGCGGCGGAGTCGCTCGTAGCGTGCCTTGTCGGCCTCGGCGCGATCCAAGTAGGGCTGCTTCTCGGTCTCGCTGAGGCTGCGCCACTTGGCGGCGGCGAGCACGCTCTGCTTGGTCGTCTCCTGCTCGCCCTCGAAGACCGCCTGCGTCATGTTGGGATCGGCACGGATGGCGCGGAGGAAGAGGAAGTAGGCGGACAGGGGCTTCTTGGGAGCGTTGGGGTCCTTGAGGTTGCCTTTCCTCGACTTGCCGGCCTTGCGCTGGGCGGATCGGTAGAGATTCTCCTGGCGGATGTCCTCGGGCGTGAGCTTGGCCTTCCAGTCTGCCATCTCCTGCTCCCACAGCTCCTTGGCCTCAAGGCTGCGGCGGTGGAACTCCTGCTTCTTGGACTCGGGAAGCGCGGCGTATCGCTGGCCTGCATCTTTGGCGACGTGGGCGACGTTGAGGCGTTCGTCGGGACTTTGAGCCTTGATCTTCTGGAGCTCTTCGGTGAAGAAGATCTGCCAGGCCGACGGCGCCTGCTTGGGCGGCTTGAGGCGCGACTTGAGCGCCGACGGTTTCGGCGGGTCCTCCTTCTTCTGCTTCTTGGCGGGCTTGGTGTCAGCGGCGGGTTCGGGCTGCGCATAGGGATGGGCCTTGGACTTGGCCTTGGGAGCGTCGGCGCTCGCGCCCTTCTTCGAGGCTTTGCCCTTGGGTTCGGGGGCTGCCTTGGCAGGGGGAGCGGCGGCGGCAGCGCCCTTCTTGTCAGCCTTGGGGGCCTTGGGAGCCTTGGGAGCCTTTGCACCCTTGGCGGCCTTGGCGGAGCCCTTGGCAGCAGCCGAGCCGGCAGCGTTGGGGGCAGGAGCCGAGGCGGCGTTGGACGCCGCAGGGGGTGCACCCGCCTGACTGGGCGAGATGCTCTGGAGGTTCTGGGGCTGGAAGTACTGGTGGTAGTGCGACTGCTGACCGAAGCCGTGGTTGAAGTCGTTGCCCGAAGAGCCGCCGCCGGGCGCACCCATCATGGGGTTGGAACCGGCGCCGCCGACCATGCCACCCATGCCTCCGTGAGCGGCCTGGCCGGGCACATGAGAGTAGTGCTGCTGGGGCGACGAGTGGTGGACCCCGTAGCCGTACATCGACATGGGACCGGCGTTCTGGCCGCCCGAGATGTGGGCATGGGAAGGGTTGGGCGAGTGCTGGGGATACGAGAGCTGGGAAGGCATGGCGTGACCTTGGCCGCCAAAGTGGGAGCCGTAGGCGTGGTGGCCCATGTTTCCGTGGCCGCCGTTGCTTTGGCCGGCGCCGAGGGGAGGAAGCTGCATGCCTCCGTAGTGAGACGGGGCGTTACCGTTGTCCATACCGAGGTTTCGTGAGTGCTAGAAGGAGGTCGTCGAAGGGAACAAGACAAAGTCAGCCAGTGTTTGCAGGGATGCAACGAGAGCGAGCTCTGACGCGCGGGGCAACGTACCATAGCTGCTGGGTTGAAGTACTGGCTACCTTGAGCGTCGTCGGAGCCTGCGTGAGGGTGAGGGTGATGGTGAGGATTGTGGTGAGTGTCAGAAGATTGCATCCTTCGCGCCTGAGCTTGTGCGGCCGCTTCTTGCGGCGAGACGAGGTGCTGCGAGGCCATGGAAGGGTCGGCCCGTCGAGGCGATGGACTCGTCGCGTGGCGTCTCGAGGACCACTTCAACTCGCAACTGCAGATCGCGACGCGGAAGCGCGACGAACGGACGGACGACGGCGACGACGACGACGACGACGCGATGACGGGACGCGCAGGGGCGGTAGCAAAAGGTGTCAGGGACGCCGATGTTCGAGCGAGGCGCGTCGTCACCACGCCCGAACGCGCGCGGAGGAATACTTACGCGCGTCTGAAGGGAAGCCGAACGACGACAGCACGAGCGAAGAAACGAATCTGGTGGCGACGGTGAGGCCTGCCAGTGAGTCGAAGAGGGGTGGAGACGGCGAGGTGGTGACGAGTCAATGACTGCGTCAATCGAGGGAAGATGAAGGCGGGGAAGGGATCGGTGACGAGGAACCCGGAAGTAGAGGCAGAGGTGGAGGAGGAGTGGATGGATGCGACGCGCGATGAAGTGGGGGCGTGCCTATCAAGCGCGTGCGGCGACGCGGATGGATGGATGGTGCGAGGGAGCGGGCGACGCACTGGCCGACGCGTCGCATCAGCGCAGCCTCGCAGCCCGTGGAAAAAAACAACGCGCCGGGTTGGCTTGGAAAGGCCGGATCAAAATCGTGCGGCCCAGCGAGCGCGATCGGCAGAAGCGAAGTGTGTTAGACCGCAGGGCACCCGATCGACGCCACTCGCGTTGGCGACTGAGCCGCGATCGAGGCGCGCGCGCGCGACTCAGCCGTGGAGCGGGGCAGCCATCCACGCATCCATCCATCCATCCAGCCGGTAGCGTCGAGACGGATGGTTGCTGTTGCGCCTTCCCGTCAAGCTACGGCGAACAAAGCGCAACGGGACGAAAAGCTTGTGCATTCGACGTGCAGCTCTGTACCGCCACGTGTGTGTGCGTGTCGGAGGTAGGCGGCGGGCAGGAGGGAGGGCGGGACGAATGACACGAGAGCGTATCGCCTGAGTTGGATGTGCACGCCGACGACAGAGGACGGACAGGCTGTCACGAGCTCGTGTCGACCGCACAATCGCAGCCGAACTCGAAGATGCGACATGGCGCAGGGACAGTCGCCCGGAGTGTGGCAGCTGCCAAGGGATGGCGAGGAGCAGCACACGACAGGACGAGCGGCCGACGACGGGAACAAGAGGCAGGCAGGATGGCAGCTGGGCCTCGCTCACAGAGGCTCGAACGGCAACGAATACGCAAAGGAACTAACGCAGTGGCAACCGCAAGCGCGGCGGCAGCAGCAGCAGCAGCAGCAGGGGACGAGGGCCATACGGGAGGGAGAGCACAAGGGGGACAAGGCGAGTCGACTTACCTTCGCAGAAGAGTTGCGGATGAAGTGCTCGGTGGGTCGCGGATGCTGCTGCGTGTGACTGTAAAAGAGGGGAGGGGGGAGGAGCAAGGCGAAAGAATGTGATGTAGTACTGAGGCAGAGTGCGAGCGGCGCCAAAGAGGTGCTTTGTCCAGCGGCGAGGAGCGCGGCGAGGGCCAAAGTGCGAGGCAGGGGCAATCAAGCAGAGAGGGCGTCCAAAAACTTGCAAAATGAAGTTTTCAAAATGGCGACCTGGCCGGCAGCCACCAGGCGGGTTCGTGCAGCAGGCAGGCAGGGCAGGGATGGTGACCTGAGACGCGGCCCACCTAGGGGAGTGAGAGCGAAGGGAGGGGGTGGCAGATGGCAGGTGCACACAGTCGGAGCAATAGTACAGAGGAGGGAGACGCCGCGAGGAGCCGGTGGGCGGCGGCTGGACGGTGTCGAGAGGGCAATCGGACGGCGACGAGGGCGGCTCTACCCGAGCCAGACGCAGCCAATGGCGGAGGCGAGCCCAAAGGCAACTGCGATGGTTGCGTTGCCGGTGCAGGTGGCGCAGGTGGGCAGAGGAGATGGGATGCACGCCAGCGCGAGGGAGGGGACAGGACGGCAGTGGCAGAGACAGAGGCAACGTACCTTTGGTTGATAACCAACAGGGGCGCAGAGTGCAGAGGAGCGGTGGTGGTGGGAGCGAAGGGGGGCGGTGCGGCTCGGGACGCCTTGAATTGGGCGCACCACCTCGGCGAGATGAAGATGCCCACCCAATCGAGGCGCAGTGCAGCGATTATACGGGACAAAGCACAGCACAGCACAGCACTGCAAGCCGCACGGGTCATCCGGAAGAGTAAGCCTCGACGGCGGGCGAGAAGCCGTGGTGCAACAATAAGAGAGTGAGCGCATGCACCCGACGAGCTCAACCGAGAGCCATCCAAGGGCACGCTGAGCCTGTATGCAAGGTTGGAGCAGCCAAGGCGCGCGTGCCCAGGTGCGACCAGTCGAGCGCTGGTCATCGAGGCTCGTTTGCTTACCGTGGGCACATCAGCCCAACCTGCAAGAGCTCCCCAATGCGAAACGCTAAAAAAGTCGGCGAAACCTTGTGGCCGTTCAGCACGGACCCGCCGACCCGTGACTTCAAGGCTCACTTCAAATTAAATCAAGTCGCGGCTTCAAATCACCTTCGGCTGCCTCTGAGGCTTCAAGATCGCTGGATTTTTGGTGTGGCTCCGAGCGTAGCATTCTGTATCACCGATTGGGCTGCCGATCAACTATATGCTCTCCGATTGCCAACCGATGACGAACCAGCGATAGGTTCGAGCCAGTCCACCCTCTGGCTGGCTCTGTTGGACCGGCCCGGCTGCACGGACGACCGAGTTCCAGGCGCCAAAGTTCTCGTAGCCCTGGTAGTCGCGCTGGGCCAGGATGGCGAGACGCAGACCGCGCTCGCCTGGACGATCCGCCGCAAAGGCCTCATACACTGCCTGCATCTCGGCCTGGTGCGTTGGGCGCAGCGGCACCATGATGTGGAGCAATGGCTGAACGCCGCTCGAGGGGTCAGCAGGCTTCAGAAGCGACTCGGCCACCGAGCGGATCCACAGGGGATGGACGGGATCGTAGATGCAGTCTGCTGCGACGATCAAGTCAAAGCTGTGCTGACAGGAGCCAATGTCAAGTTGGCGTGCCCAGTCGGATTGTGCGGAAGCGACGAGATGGCTCGGCACGGTCTGCGATGTCAACAGTTGATGCGCCGAGCTAGCTTGGCCACTGCGAGACTGATACACGCTCTGCCAGTCCAGACAGCGGGCCACAACGTCAACTCGAGCTTGCGATGCTTGAGCGACGCTCGCTGGCCAGTGGTTGAGCTGGATATTGTGCGCCAGATTTTCGAGCACGGTGGGATGGTGATCTGTGCACACCACGCGAGTGCCTGCATCGCGACGGTGTTGCCGCGACCATTGCGCAATTGTCAGTCCGACGAGGCCGGTGCCTGCTCCGAGCTCGAGGACGTTGAGATCGCGCTTGGAATCTGCGTCGACGGGGAGAAGGAGCTGCGAAAGGATGGGGGCAGCTCCCCACGTATGTGTGCCTAGCGAGTCGTGTACGAGTGCACCGTCTCGGAGCTTGACGATGACCTCGCCATCGGAGAGTTGGAAGATGTGGTCTTGAATCGAAGCACCTGCAGCCATCTTGCCTGCTGCTAGGGCAAGCAGCTCGGCGCATCGTTGCGAGAGAAGTTCACACCTGTCCTGCATCTCTTGCGACTCGGCGCTGGTCATGGCGAATTCGGAGACGAGTCGGGTGAGCCAGCGGGTGATGTAGCGCTGCTCGAATACATCCGTCTCCTGCGGTGGATCCTCGACGGAAGACTGAAAGTCATCGTGAGCTTGCGTGTCGTTCGCCGTGGGATGTGGGGGAGCGTGAAGGATCTGGCCGCCGCTGGCGCCGAGCACGATGGCGAGACTGTCGAGATTGGCGGTCACAACATCCAGGCATTTGGGCGAGGCCAAGTCTAGCGCCCTCAGTTGGCGCAGGTCGCGACTTGGCAGGAACTCGGTGGATGCGGACATGCCGCGCTTGGTTGCGAGCGGGGTGGAAGGCAGAGTTGGCCATCTCGGACAGGACGATGTCTTTTCAGGGTCCAGCCCAAAACCTTGAACACAACCTTCATCCAGAAATCACCATCGGGGCGACTCAACGAGTGAAGGAGAGATCGGCGATTCTAATACCGTTCGACGGGTTGACATCGATCTACGGCTGGCTGCACCCTGAACTCGCTCGCGCGCGCAATGTTTTGCCGGCCCAGTTGGCTGGAGGAACGAGCTTCGGAGGCGGTGTGCCGGAAGCGGGACATTTGGGACAATTTCGCCAAAAGGCTGGAATTTCGCACGAAGCGAGGCGGAGCATGATGTCAGTGCTCTGGCATCTGTGCAGTGACGATCCTTGCGATGGAGCGAGGGAGCGAGGGAGCGAGG